GCACAAGAACAGACCCATAGACCAGTGGAGCAGACTAGACAGCCCTGATATAAACCCAACCATATATGGTCAATTAATATATGATAAAGGAGCCATGGATATACAATGGGGAAATGACAGCCTCTTCAACAGCTGGTGTTGGCAAAACTGTACAGCTACATGCAGGAGAATGAAACTGGATTATTGTTTAACCCCATACACAAAAGTAAACTTGAAATGGATCAAAGACCTGAATGTAAATCATGAAACCATAAACTCTTAGTAGACAACATAGGCAAACATCTCCTGAATATAAGCATGAGTAACTTCTTCCTGAACGCATTTCCTCGAGAAAGGGAAAGAAAAGCAAATATGAACACATGGGACTACATCAAACTAAAAAGTTTCTGTACAGCGAAGGACTCCATCAGCAGATCAAAAAGGCATCCTACAGTATAGGAGAATATATTTGTAAATGACATATCCAACAAGGGGTTAACATCCAAAATATATAAAGAACTCACATGCCTAACACTCAAAAAGCAAATAACCTGATTAAAAAATGGACAGAGGATATGAAGAGACAGTTCTCCAAAGAAGAAATTCATATGACCAACAGACACATGAAAAGATGCTCCACATCACTAATCATCAGGGAAATGCAAATTAAAACCACAATGATATATCACCTCACACCACTAAGGATGGCCAGAATAAAAAGACTAAGAACAACAAATGCTGGCGAGGATGTGGAGAAAGGGGAACCCTCCTACACTGCTGGTAGGAATGTAAGCTAGTTCAACCATTGTGGAAAGCAACATGAAGGTTCCTCAGAATACTAAAAATAGAAATACCATTTGACCCAGGAATCCCACTCCTTGGAATTTACCCAAAGAATACAACTTCTCAGACTCAAAAAGACATATGCACCCCTATGTTTATGGCTGAATTATTTACAATAGCCAAATATGGAAGCAACCAAAGTGTTCATCAGTAGATGAGTGGATAAAGAAAATGTGGTACATACACACAATGAAATACTATGCATCCATAAAAAGGAAAGAAATCCTGCCGTATGCGACAACATGGATGGACCTGTAGGGTATCTTGAGAAGTGAAATAAGGCAGGCAGAGAAAGACAAATAAGATATGATTTCATTTACATGTGGAATCTAAAAACAAAACAAAATGAACAAAACACAGACACTGTGAAGTGACTGGTGGTTAGGGGTTAGGGTGGATGGGTGAAA